AAAAAAATATCAGAGGGACACTTGGTTCTTACTAAGGCTGACAAGGGAAATAGTGTAGTAGTGTTACATAAAAAAGATTATGATGAGAAAGTCTTGAAATTTGTTAGGGAGAATAATTTTGAAATATTTAACCCCAAATTCCCCACTTTTATAAAAACAGTTAACTCAGTAATGAAAGAATGTACATCTACAATATCAAAAGGCTTGATCTATCATTTATCAGCTAATAATACCACAATCCCAAGATTATATGGTCTATTGAAAGTACACAAATCAGACATTTTCTCCGAAATGCCCATAAGGCCTGTAGTTTCCTTCACAAACTCTCCAACTTATAAATTGGCAAAGTGGCTAAATGTAAAATTTAAAAAAAAAAAATTTAGAGAAGTATACAATTGTGTTTTTGAGAATACAGTTTTGAAGAGTACACAATTAGCAAATAAAATTAAAGATGTGCCAATACCTAACAATGCTCTAATGATTTCACTTGACGTTACAAATTTGTTCACCAATGTCCCAACTAATGAAGTTTTACAAATAATTAAAAATAACCTACATGATAGTACACTCTCAGACATTGAAGCAGTTGAATTGATAAAACTATTAAATATTTGTTTAAAACAAAATTTCTTTGTTTTCAATGAAACGATCTACCGTCAGGAAGATGGACTTTCTATGGGATCTCCTTTATCACCATTGTTAGCTGACATATTTATGGATTTTTTTGAAACTAACCACATTCTAAAGAACAACCCTTTTTGTGGGAACATAATATATTATTATAGATATGTTGATGACATTCTTCTTTTATGGTCAGGCAGTAGAGAACAACTAAACGATTTTATTAACAATATTAACTCAATTCATCAAAAAATTAAATTTACTGTTGAAATAGAAACCAACAAATCTATTAATTTTCTAGATCTTACAATAAAAAATGTAAACAATAAACATCACTTTGCAATTTATAGAAAACCTTCTCATACAGGTGTAATAATACACCAATCGTCTTTCCACCCTATGTCACAGAAATTAGCTGCCCTCAGCAGTTTTGTCAATAGATCCATAGACATCCCCCTGTCCGAAGACGCTAGAGAGATGGAAATCAAAATAATTAAACAAATAGCTCAAGACCACAATTTTGACCCTAATATAGTCAATAAGCTCATACAGAAGAAATTATTGAGGAATTTAGCTAATAATTCATATTTACCAACAACAAACACTAGTGTAGGGGGCAACACAGAAAGATTTTTCTCATTAACGTTTAATGGTGATATATCATATAAAATACAGAATATCTGTTCACGTCACAATATTAAAATAGCTTTCAAATCAAAGAATACCTTAAGTAATTTTTTCATAAATAATAAAGATAAAATTGACCCTTTACTCAACCCTGGTGTATACCAATTGGCTTGCGGTTGTGGAAAAATTTACATTGGCTGAACAAAGAGAAATTTCAAGACACGCTTCTCAGAACACTGTAGATGTGTTAGGTTAAATAACACAGAATCACTGTTTGCAAAGCATATTTTGGAAACGGGACACCAAACAGATTTCAAAAACAACCATAAAATTTTACATGTTGAAAGTAACAATGCTATTTTAAATAATTTGGAAGCGTTAGAAATTATTAGATCAACTAAAGATGACCCTGATAGAATCATCAACTCACAAACCTCTTTCATGGATAACAGAATCTTGAGTTTGTTTTTCCAGTAAAATAAATTATTAAATTAGTTTTGCATCCCCTATTCCTAACCCTCATGTCTTGGTTGCCCTGTAGTTCAAAGTTTTTAGATATAAAAAATTGCTAACCTATTGTTCTTTGATTGTGTTTTTACAGTTTTCTACGATTTTTACGATTTTTTACAGTTTTCTTACGATTGGTTTTTTATAATTACTAAAAATAACTTTCTTCAAATTTTGTCGCCCTCTAGGTATCAATGAGTTGATTTGTAAACAATGTTTTTATACGGTACAGTACCCTAGATTGTAACAGATTGGGTCGATAAAGGAGAACCGGTACAAGATAAACATGGTTGTCATATTGGGTTAAAAAAAAAAAATTCAAATAATTAATAGAGGTCACCACACATACGTAGTGCTGTCACTCCAAAAAAGAGCATGTGACCTGAACCAACAAATATAATAATATAAATGAATAATATTTTAAAAAATAGCTATTTATACAATAAGTTGCGAAATGAGTGTCTTTTAGGCACGCGACGTGAAAATTGTCCAACGAGGCAAAGCCGAGTTGGACAACACGTCGAGTGACTAAAAGATTTCGTTTCGTAACGTATTGTATACAAGATTTTTTCTACTGACGTTTCATAATAAAAAAAACACAATTTTATTTCAATGTTTGTCGCCTGCTTTTGCTTGACACCTTTCATGTTGGTGACTAATATTCATAATAAATACAAAACAAAATTCAAATTTGCATTTAGTGTGTTTTTTATTTCTGAACAATGAATAACACTTTTAGGCACTAGTGCTTAAAAGTTACTTTTACGCACTTGAAAGTCGCTTTTACGCATTTGAAAGTCACTTTTACGCACTGAAAAGTCACTTTTACGCACTGAGTGCCTAAAAGTCACTTTTACGCACTGAGTGCTCAAAAGAATGTCATTTCAAAACTAAAATGACAATCGAAAAGTTGCTATTATGAAACGTCAGTAGAAAAAAGTCCTATCAGTACTGTCAATGTTGTATCATCGTCCAAAAAAATGTGAATTTGTCCTTTTACACCTTTTACACCTTTTTAAAATTAATTATTTCTAGTAAGGTTTTTTAAAAATATATATGTCATTGTTTTTCGTCTATATACACTAATATTTACACAACAAGAAATCCCAAAGAAGCCAAAAAACCAAAAAACAAAAAGAAAGAAAAAAACATGTTCTGAAGAGACACCATTTTGACATATAAAGGTATTTTTCACATAATGGAATTTAATAAAAAACTTCCAACCCTTTGTAAACTTATCGAATTTCTACTGCTAATAAATTTCAATAATTTTCCTGGAATTTTTTCAGACTAAAATATCAACCGACCTTCTTGTTTGTGGACATGAGTATAACACTCAAAAGGGTAACATCCTTTATTGACAATTTTGCCTGATGCCCAGGTATTGTTCCTCCGAATCGACCTGATTTTGACAACTCTCATTATTATTAAATATGTAAGTTACAGTTTTTAGATATTAAGACTAATATAACCAAGTTTAGAGGTTGATTGATTCAACGAAAATAATGCAACTGGTGCTCATTGTGGTATTTTTTCAATTTTAGTCTTTTTATACCTGAAGATGAAGCGTTGAAGCTTCGAAACCGGTAGTACATAAATAAAGAATTTTTGGGATTTTCAAGACTATTTTTCTTCAAACCTAAAACCTATTTTGTTTGACAAGAGTAGCTAGGCGAATTGTGCAACGCAACTTATTAGGACTAATAAATAATTGCTTGTAACTTGTGATTTGTAACTTGTAGAATACGTTTTTATCGTGCAACAGGGCCCAAGTCTGTTCCTGCGGAAATCACAAACCAGTCAGAGCAAATTTCATTGGTTGGAAACATAGACAATAAAAAATAAAAAGACCTTCAAAAGTATAGCCGAAATAGGTTATACTATTACTGCGCATCCGGTTGCGCATAGCGCATTGCGGAATTTTTGGAAAGCTAGAGACTTACGAAAGATCATTCCGATCATTCGATTCTGTTTCATCTTTCTCTGTCATACCAATTCACAAGACAAGGACACAGTATGAGTTACAGAGCTTTCCTAGCTGTTTTGTAGAAACCTATCAAACATCCATAACTATAGAAACTGTGACAGAGAAAACAAATAAGTAACCTTAAAATAACGACATTTCCGTGTTAAAATTTGTCATGTGTTTGTCATTTTTAACCGATTGGGCGGTCGTCTAAGAAGACTCGAATTCACAAAATCTAAAGAACAAAAAAAAGAAATTGTCATTTTTATTAAGTATCGGTATCGCGTACCTATAATATTATGTACAACTAGGATAAACTGAACCAGTAAGTATACATGTTAGTTTTGTGATATACGGCATATTTTTTTACTGTTTTAGGAGACCTCTGTCAGAAGAGATAAAATGTAGATGTTAGGCCTTGGACAGCTTAGCTTGTACATACATTAAGGCACGTATAAGGGATGTAATAACTGTGTTTGTAAACTCTTTAGATATTTGACCTATCTAGCTATAATATAAGTATATTTTTTCTAGTACAATTTAGTGTTTATTTTGCCTTTTTTTTAAATCTACATCAAAAAATGGCACAAAACTTTATGGAGTACCACATCATTTTTCTCATTCGGATTTGAGAAAAAAAGATGTGGAACAACATAAGTAAGTTTTTTGTGCAATCAACTCAAGTCAAATTTCAAAATTCCCGCCATTTCAGTATTTGTTCCGGCTGCCACTATTGACGCCACCGTCGCTGTGACGTCAGCGCTATACAAACTTTCATGTTATCAATCAGGTACTCTTACCTTGGTTTATTATATTTCTCTATGGTTGGAAACAGTCAAAAAACTAGTTACAAACAAATGAAATTCACTCTGGCTGGTTTGTGATTTATGTAGAAACAGACCTATCATTGTAGGGTCATTGTGACGGACCAGGTCTTCACTTCCATCAGTGCTGGAGCCTGGACGAGATGTGCTGGGGCCTGGACGAGAGGAGTTGGAGCCTCGACAAGACTTTGAATCTTGGCCTGAGCCACTTCTGTCCCCAACCTCTCGAACTGAAGACACTGTCCTGAATTGTAAACAAAGCATAATTTAATTTACCAAGGCTGTAAATAAGTTCTTGATCCAAGAAATAATAAGTAATACACACTCACGGTTTTTGACTTGAGCTATCATCTATAAACTTCATTAACTCAAACTGACGGAACCCTGGGTCAGGGGTCGGAGCTCCTTCTGAACCACTTGGTTTGTATGTATTGACCTTTTTTTTTTGCTCTTACATAGCAATCCCTAAGGTATTTCCATTTTTTCTGCAGTTCAGCTGGTGTGAATTGTCCACCATAAATATTAGAAATTTCATTCCATAGATGAATTTTTTTTGCGTTGGTTCTTTTAAATAATGATAAACCCAAATTATAAAGGGGCGGTCTGTCTTGCACATGTTTAATGAAGTCCTCCTCCCAGTTAAAGGTGTAAAGGGATGTCGCTTCTACATTTACATCCTTAGCAATGCTCACAATTGTCCCAGTATCCTTACTCGCTAAAATTTAATAATTTTGTTGTCTACAATTATGTTCCTTTATGATTAACATAGAAAATACTATGATTCCTAATTAAACTAAACATCCAAACAAACCCTACCTACTTACCGATAGTTATAACCATTTGGTCGTCAGAGACAAGTTCATGAACATTATCATCATAAATGTTTGCAAAGCATTCATGGTCTAGAATATTTTCGCATTGGCTTTTCATGTACCAGCCACAATATCCACACTTGTAATTCTAAAATATAATATGTCAAACATACGAGCAAATATACAATGTGTCCAAGATAAGCGAGGGTCGGTATGGGGATCTGGGAAACGGTATGAGATACGAGGGCGCTTTAATTAGAAAACAAGATGCGCAATTTTGTGCTCAATAAAATTGCGCTTTGATATTTCGAACATTCCGAATACTACCGGAGATATCCGGAATAAACCGAAATTCGCCCAAAATTATTTTATTTATTCCTGACCTTATTCGAACAGATATTTCAAAATAAATTGCATTGTGTCAGCGGCTCAGTTCAGCCACTCAGCAGGAACTTTATTCTCGAAACAGGGAAGCAGCATTCTCATTGGAACGAAGGTTCTGTCTTTGTCGTCCGGCATAACAGTGACAATGACAGAGCAATCGCTCCTATGAGAACGCTGTTCCTTGGTTTCGAGAATAAAGTCCCTGCTGAGTGGCTGAACTTAGCCGCTGGGACCGCCATTTACCCATTGTCACTTTTTCTCCTCTACAAGATGCCACCATCAAATTCAAAATTTGACGTTTCGTCTTTGGGCCACCCATCATCAACTTTATTTTTTATAAATACGACCCTGGATATTTTTTATTCCAGATTTTAAGTGCTTCTGATGTCCCAAAACCTATGACATACCGCATTAATTCGAAAAAATATTTTCCTACAGCCGTGCGGAAAAATCGATTTTCCGCACTGATATGCGTGCGGAAAATTAGTTTTCCCGCACGGTGCGGTAAAACTTTTTTTTTGACATATCAGTGCGGTAAAAGTTTTTCCGCACGGCTGTCAGTGCGGAAAATTTTTTACCGCACTGATATGTCAACAAAAAAAAAATTACATTTTTTCGCCTGTAGGAAAAATATTGTACCTAACACTTGCGGAAAATATTTTTCCGCACTCGGCTGCATCACCCGTGAATGGCAGCCGCGTGCGGAAAAATTCATTTTCCGCACTTGTTAGGTAAATAGCTATTTCCTACAGCTGTGCGGAAAAATCGATTTTCGGCACTGATATCCGTGCGGAAAATGAGTTTTCCCGCATGCATATCATTTCGAAAAATTACTTTTCCCGCACGAGTCTGCCGTTCACCGAGAGACGCGTAGCGGACTTCGGTGAAGCAGCCGAGTGCAGAAAAATATTTTCCGCAAGTGTTAGGTACAATATTTTTCCTACAGGCTTAAAAATGTAAAATTTTTCTTTTTTTTTGACATATGAGTGCGGTAAATTTTTTTCTGCACTGACAGCCGTGCGGAAAAACTTATTCAGCACTGATATGCGTGCGGTAAAAGTTTTACCGCACCGTGCGGGAAAACTCATTTTCCGCACGCATATCAGTGCGGAAAATAGATTCTTCCGCACGGCTGTAAGAAAATATTTTTTTCGGATAAGTGCAGTTCGTCATTGGCTTTGGGACATCAGTAGCTCTTAAAATCTGGAATAAAAAATCCAGGGTCGTATTTATTAGTATATTAAAGTATAAGTGGATATTAAGGTCTTTAAAACACGCGCGATTTTGCGAGCACGACGGCGCAGCCGGAGTGCTCGAAATAGAGCAAGTGTTTTAAAGACCAGTTATCCACGAATACTTTACACTATTTTTTTTATTGGTATACGTTCAAACCATAAATTACTAATAATTGGAGAATGCTAAATTCGTGCTTAACACTTGTTATATTTTATTTGACGTTATCTACAAGTACCTAACCTACTCCTGCCAAATCAATAATTAAAAAGTTGACATTTAGACTTGTTTGGGTTGTTGATGTTGTCATGATAACTTTAAAACACGCGCGTTTTTGAATGTTGGATTTAAACTCGCTGAGGAGTACTTTAAATAAGTAAAACAGGTTATCAATAAAAAAAAAATAAAGTTGATGATGGTGGCCCGAAGACGAAACGTCAGATTTTAATTTTGATGGTGGCATCATGTAGAGTAGGAAAAGTGGCAATGATGAAGTGTCATTTATTTTGAAATATCTCTTAAAGTAAGGTGAGGAAGAAATAAAATCATTTTGGGCGAATTTCAGTTTATTCCGGATATCCCGGTAGCACTCGGAATTTTTAAAATATCAGAGCGCCATTTAAATAAGCACAAAATTGCGCAACTTTTTTCCAATTTAAGCGACCCCGTATTTCTTACCGTTTCTCAGATCCCCATACTGGCCTTCCTTATCTTGGACACATTGTTTATGTTTAGAAATTAGCATTTTAACCAATGCATAGGTATGTTCTAAGAAATATTTCATAAAATACCTACTATCTAGCCATGAAAAATTTGAAACCTGTACATTAAAATTTGAAGAAAGTTCAATTTACAGAAATTTTATTTACTATAGTCTAATTATACATATGTTTAAGATAGTGATGCCCGATCTTACCTGATCCATATTATTTTTAATTATTATCTAGAATTTAAAGGATTTAAACAGCAAGACACAGCGTAGTCTTGTAAGAAGTGGTAAAAATTTTCAAATTTCGAACCAACATTGACACATTGACACAGAACAAAAACATCAAAAACAAACGTCACAACTCCGCCACGACTACGCCAAAGTTCAACAAAACTCAACTTTTTGCCGTAGCGGCAGCGTAATGTCAAAAATTCAAGATGACTGCACTGCCGCCAATGAAATCGCACAAATTAAATCACGTGATTAGTTACGCTTACGTCAATTACGCCCGTGACGATTCGCCCTCAGTGTGAACTACCCTAACCTTAGTTTATGAACAGTTGACGTCATTGAAAGCGGCCATGTCAAACGTAGCTTTTCCGCGCGAAACTTTTCAATTTAAAATTAATAATTGCCCTATGACAATAATATCGATATATTAAATGCAAAACTGCTCATATTCAATATTTTACAGAAATATGTGCACCATAAAAACAAAATGAACCATATTTATTTCTCATGAGAATTACCTTGGGTAAAAAATTCGACTATTCGAATATTCAAATACCTATTCGAATATTCGTTTATTCGAATATTCAAATATTCGAATAAATAATATTCGACTATTCGAATGTTTGACTATTCGAATATTCAAGCAATAATTAAAAAATAGACTTTCTGTATTTACATTTACTATATACGAAGAGCTAAAAACACAGTATACATGTACGGGACTACGGGTGTCTCAATTTGGACGCTTGTTATGGGAAACGTCAATTTCTCTTTCGACTGTTCAAATATTCGAATATTTGAATATTTGAATATTCGACTACTCGAATATTCGACTAGTCAAATAGGCAAATATCCGAATATTCGAATAGTCGAATAGCCAAATATTCGAATATTCGAATAGTCGAATATTCGAATTATTCGACTACCTATTCGAATAAAATATCAAATGACTATTCGAATACCTAAATTCTAAAAATTCCGAGCCCTGCTATTAAAGGTCTTTGGTAAATTAAATCTTTAAGAGCACCCCATAGATAAAAATCCAATGGTGTGAGATCTTGAGATCTCGCTGGCCATTCTACAAAACCTCCATTTCCTATCCAGTGCTCTGGAAATTCCCTATGGAGAAATCGCCGCACATTTCTGCTGTTATGCGCAGGAGCACCATCCTGTTGGAAACATACATTTCGTAGAGAAGCCAACGGGATATCCATGAGGTACTCTCGAAAGTCTCTTTTTAAAAACCTTAAATAGTTAACCGAAATTAAATTTTCTTCAAAAAGATATGGCTCTAAAATGCGATCTCCCAATATTCCTGCCTAAACATTTATACTAAATCGAACTTGAGGCCGGATTTCCCTATTTTCTCGAGGATATTCGATGGACCAAATGTGTTCGTTGTGACGGTTGAATATGCCGCAATTTGTGAACTTCCATTCATCCTTCCAAATAATCTTATATAAATATGCATCTCCGTTGCGATTAATCTGGTCGCGCAACCAGAAGCAATATGTCAACCTCCTTTCAAGATCCTCTGGACGAAGTGATTGACTCACATGGATTTTGAAATGTTTGAAGTTATTGCTTCTTAATATTCTCCGCATTTTACTTTGTTTAGGGTCCGAATATTTGCTTCTGCGGCAATCTGACACGTGGAAACAGAAGGATTATTATTTACCTAAAATAGAAAAATAAAACAAATTTGAAATTTATCTATGTAGTTATGAAAGGTATCTTGGTTGTAATACTAGGTTGACCACAATTTTTGGTGTCTTGGTATTATTGAACTACAAACCTGGTTTAACACAATAGCAGCCTCTGCCTCTGTTGTTCTGATTCCATATTTTAGCGTTGTTTGGAAAACGAACCATACCTAAAATCTGTTTTTTTTTTTTTTTAAAAGATAAAAGTCAAAATGACATTATGTTGGCATTACAATGTAAAATTGTCAATGCTTTCAAATTTTTTATGTAGAAAAGACTCGTGTTGCCAACATAGTTACTAAATTTTTGACTTGGGAAATTATCAATAGTAATATAACTAGTGCAATGGAAATTATTGATAATTTTTGGGAAATTTGCCCGAATGCATTTTTAGTTGAAAAAGAGCACGAGTGCACGTAGTGCACGAGTGCCTTTTTCAGTTAAAAACGCATGAGTGCAAATTTGTCGAAAATTATAAATATATTTCCATTGCACGAGTTGTACCTATTTAATGAGAGAATTTCATAAATCAAAAATTTAAATTTTTTGTCAAAAATGTCAAAACACCAGTTTTCGCACCAGTTAGTATGCAATTATCTGATAATTTGCACTAGTGCACTAGTGCAAATTATCGCGTAATTACAATCTGATTGGTTCAAATCAACAATCAAAACATGTCAATTTATTGTTGGAATACCAGCACAGATAGAAGGCAAACTGCCTAATAAAATTTTGGGGAACAATGCGCCGTCACGGCGCGGTGGATGCGATCCGAACTATTTATAATAAAGGCTTCTGTAATCAAATCAGCTTTCAAAATAGTTCTTCCAATGTCAATATTTTCAATATTAGATTTGT